AATCTAAAAAATGAAGTGTCCAGTTTATTTTGGCCAGGGGGATATATCTCTAGGAAAGTGAAGAGGCATAGAGTTGAAATTTTCGGTGGTGTGAGCGTGACCAGTACCTTCCATTTTCACCGAAGATGAAATTCGCCGATTATATTTACTTTATGTTTATCTGTATTTCTAGAACCCACAATAGTGCCAACGGAGCCTCTCTTCGACTTCTCTGACATAAATGAGGAGGAAGTGACTGTTTGTCAGAAGCTCGCCGCTGCATCCAGTGATCTCATGTCACAATTTTTCACACACATTTATCCAGCTGGTAAAGAAATATCTGACTTGGATCGTGGTCGAGAGCCTTATCGAATCGAATTGACGACAGACGATAAAAAACCAAATCAGTACCAACTTAGACTTCGATATCATCCTCTTACCTGGTTTGACTATACACTTGAGCCATTGACTATTGACGAAAAAATACGTCGAGCATCAAACTTTGTTAAAAAAACACTCGACTCAGCACCTGTTCGCCAAAAGCTAGACGATGATGATCTACAAAAACTCTATCAGGCACTCGATCGTCAACAGTCGTTCACTCCCAGCAAGAATGCTTGCAAAGAAAATATCAATTTATCCGTTAAAGGCGAGCATATTGAGTGTGATGCTCTAAACGATTCTCGTTTGTTTATCAATGGCCACATTCAAGTAGACAACACCTACTTTCAGCTTTTATCACCAATGAATGGAACGAGAACAGTTCTACTCTCTCCCATCAATCATATGACCAATGAAAAAATGGTTTCTACCTCAGAAGCATGGCGTGCTGTATTCCGTTCTATACAGCTCATTCAAACAGATTTAAATATGGATGCATCTCCTGTAGAGAGTGTCACGTTTCATTTTGGTACACTCTTGGTGCCTATCGCCGCAAATCCTTTCGTTTATGACTGTCACGGACAAATCAGTTTAAATTTAACGCCAACAGCTATGGATGCAGCAAAATCCAAATATGACTACAGAATCTTGCATGATTGCTCTCGAGATCCAATTCATTATGATCGTGAGGATGCTCTTGATCTACAAGCATATCGTATTGTTCCTCATAATCTGGAGTTCCTGATCCGTCTTTATGATGAAACACAAAATGAACCTGAATCGACTGATTGCACAAAAAAGGACGAAGAAGCATAAGAATCTAGTTTGGCTCCTTTTAAGTTTCAGATCCAATCCAATTGAATCAAATACAGAATAAAAATTATCAAATATGGATCATTTTGATGCCAAACTCCAAATATTTTGAGTGAACTATAGGTATAAACGGAGCCTGTCTTCACCAGATATCATAGATGAAATCGGTTAACCTTGATGGCATTACAATCAACGTCAGTTCGTGGGTTCGGTTAACCGAAATCGAACCTAACTGACCAACCGACGCTGATTGTAGCGCCAACTCGGTTAAACCAATTCCCATCTCTGTCAGATATTCGTCACATGCTAAACGACTGGGTAGTCCCCGATACTCGCCACTATGTCAGCATTTGCTTGAAAGAAAAGAAATAGAGATACATGATGATTCATATTTATTCCGATAGGTCTTTGTTCATGCTACATTATCATAATAGAACTATTCATTTAAAATGATGCTTTGATTCAACTAGACCCAATAGGAATCATTCCGCTACATACATTTTGCTTCTATATTACTCATTTATTGCGCATTGCATTCCATCTCTCATTTGATTACTGTATCAATAACATGTTCACCCAATTTTTTTAATTTCCAGTTCGATAGAACTTTTGAAGCACTACAAAACTAGCTGCTTCACAGAACCTAAAAGCGTGGATCACAATCAAATCCTAAGCACATTTTTTAAGATTTGATTTCTGAGTTTTTTGTCTAATATTCGATGGTTTTTGGGCAAAGTAATCCTCATTCGACTTCAAATAGATGTCATATTCGGGATCATCGCAAAAGAGCTATGTCGACCTATATGTATTTCGAATTGTTTCCGCGACTTTTGTCCATAAAATCCTCACACCTACTCCCTCTCAAGGATACATGAAAAAATGAATTTCATCATAAAACTATTTAAACAGTGGAAATCGAGTTCCAAAGTTATAGAATGCGTTTTGAAGTCAACAAGACTGATAAATAATCAATAAAATGACTGTTTTCATCAAAATGAATTTTTCATGTACCCTTGAGGGGGCACCGGTGAGAATTTGATGGACAAAAGTAGCGGAAACAATTTCAAATACATATTGGTCGACTTGGTTCTTTTGTGATGATCCAGAATATGACATTTATTTGAAGTTGAATGAGTATTATTCTGCGACAAAACTCTCGAATATTAGTCAAAAATCTCAAAAATCAGGTCTAAAAAAATGTGCTTGGGACTGGAGTATGTGATCCGCGCTTTTAGGTCCTGTGAAACAGCTAGTTTTGTAACGTTTCAAAAGTTCTATCGAACTGGAAATGAAAAAATTTGGGTCAACATGTTATTGATACAGTAATCAAATGAGAGACGGAATGCAATGCGCAATAAATGAGTAATATAGAAGCAAAATGTATGTAGCGGAATGATTCATATTGTGCCTAGTTGAATCAAATTATTATTTTAAATGAATAGTTCTATTATGATAATGTAGCATGAACAAAGATCTATCAGAATAAATACGAATCATCATGTATCTTTATTTCTTTTCCTTCAAGCAAATGCTGACATTGTTGGCGAGTATTGGTGACTACACTGTTAAAAACAATAGGTGTTTTACCAAACCTGTGTCCAAGATAAAAACCTTCTTGGTTCCGTACAAAATTACTGAGCCTTTTTCAATTCTGTGCGAAAATTACCGAGCTTTTTTAATCTCGTCTATTTCGTACGGAACCAAAACGGTTTTATCCTGAGCACAGGTCCGGTAAAACACCTATTTTTGTTACAGTGTACCTGAGCCATTTAGTATGTGGTGAATATTTGATGAAGATAGACTCTGTCTATACCTATAGTTCACTCAAAATACTTGAAATTTGGCATCAAAATGATCTAGATTTCATGATTTTTATTCTGTATATAATTCAGTTTGGTTGGATCGGAAAAATCAAAGAGGGTCAAAATAGATTCTTGTATGCTCCCGTCCTTATCAACAAAAATTGAACACCTGACTGGTATCATCAAATCAGAGCCTAAACTTGAATAAATTCATCCTCCCGTATTTTATAAGTGATCCTTGCTTTTACACTCATATGCAAATCATATCATACCACTAACTAGCAATAAAAACGATGCAACATATAAAGTATGAAAAACATGTGACGGAGAGACGAAAGACTTTTCCCCAGCGATATAAGTTACCTATTGAATAATTGTGCGAAGAAGCACATCACCCTGACAGGATAAGGCTAATCGAGTTTACATTAGGCGATCGACATCGTTTTGTACGACACTCCTTATCCCTGTTTGAGCAACACGTAATATTTTCTTTTGTTTTTTTCTCTTTCCTTCTATTTTCCTCTTTTCTCTATCTCTCTCCGGGTCGCTTTTTCTCTCTCAACATCTATGACAGTCACAAATGAGTCGAGCCGAGATACGGATACACTGAAGTGGTATGTGTACGAATAAGCTTAGAGTGTGTGTTTGCTGTGGATAGTACGTACACGTAGCCTTTAGAAGCAGAGTGGTGCTGATTTTTTTCCTGAACTTATTATTGAATAAATAATTACGGTTCGATGTTGTCCGAACGTTCATCCTTATATCTTATATCTCGATCTCGATTCTATTTTCTTTTACAATAATATTTCTTCTTTTTCTTGCCGATACGGCCATATTGTAAAATTTATTCTTGATCATGTAGACTGTCGAATGTTTTAGATGCATAATTCATTAATATAATCAAGAATGTCGCTGGAAGATCTGGAGTCAAGTAAGTTACTTAACTTTTCACTTTCTGTCGCAATCGTAAGGAAACTTCTACTTTTCTGGAAGAAGCTCTCACGAGGAAATGTTTTCAACTAATTAATCACTTTTGTGCTCGGACTATTTGCATAAGGTACACCCTAGTGGGGCATGAAAAAACTCCAGAAGAATAGATACCCGTAAGCCTTCTTCTCAGAGTTGTAGATATTTGACTGGAATTTTAGCCTACGGCATGATATACAGCAACAAATCGAATGATGGTATTTCCACCTGATTTTTTATCTTCTATTTGTGACTAGAGTGCTCTGAAAGTTTCATTTCAAAGAAACGTCTGTGTGTGGATGTAGCTGTGTGAGTGCGGTTGTGATGTGCGGCTGGGTGTAGACTAGTGTCCTGCGTGATTGATATTTTTGATCACGATCACGAATGGTTTATTGTATCTAGAGGCAGAAACATAATTGTTCACTGTTTAGCCGTCCCATCTTTGTGATCAAGGTTGGCCCGACCCTTGAAACTTTCGGAGCGAGAAACTGTAAACAAAAGATTCGGTCAGGGATAGTGTGCGTTTGTAATATCAACAGTTTTCTAGTTGTTTTTTGTGTACTGTTCCCTCAAAACATTTTAACGCCGAGGGAGTTCACGGTTGTGACTGTTGAACAAAACCATGCCTTCTGGAAACTAGAACAAATAGAAATTTTTCTGGATTAAGTTTTAAGTTTTTAAAAACTGCTTATGATTATGCAACTCACACTATTTTCCGGTGCCGATTTTTTTGCAGACTGATTAAAAATTCTTCTGTCTTATGTGGTTGCTTGCGAAAAATATACCGTCGCCAAATAACAGTTATAATGCTTTCTAAGAATATTTGTCATCGAAAGCTGTCACGATCATTAAGATTGTTGAAAAAACGAAGGTTTTCAGACGTAGAGAACTTTGTTGCTCAAATTAAAGATCAGAGATTTCTTAGATCGGCCACGATTACATAGCCGTTGCTTTTTCGCAAACAAAAAACGATTTGATCTTACTTTACAGATTATTAGAGAAAACGTCACTCAATTATTCCTGTATTTCAGAAGAAAAGTTTAGCGATCCTTATTTCGTATTTGTTTTTCCGCTTTTGAACTGGTAAGAAAATATAAACTTCCAGTTATTGAGGAGGCAGTTTTACACCCTCAATACCCCTTCCTCTGGATCTGGTCAACTCCGTCTGTGCAAAACGTCATAGGATGCAGCCAAAAAGAACAGAAAACTACACGGAAAATTCATTGTTGTCATTTATTTTTACTCATCGTGGAAATACTTTGAAGATATCAGATATGTTAGCTTATGTTTGTCGTTAGAATGTGTAGCACTGATCCCATTCAAAGGATGCGAATGACAACAATAGTCAGATAGTGAAAGCGATGGGCAAATTATTTAACTATGTCGTTCCCTCCTTCAAGCTTTCTTTCTATATGAATTGTATGTGATCTATGAGTGCCCACTATTCTTGTGTTATAAACAGTATATAAGCTATCATATTTGTTTTCTGATTTGAATGTGAACCATTAAATTTTTCAATGAATGGTGGAGATTTTGAATGTTAATATTATGATCGTGATCACGGAACTTCTTTTTCAATCACGGTCACGAGTAGGCAGGACACTAGTGTAGGTTTCACTTTGGATGTAGGCGTGGGTATCGCTCTAAGTGTGAATTGTCCTGAATTTTTGCGTAGAGAATGTTCACACCCACATCCAGAATCCGAGTCATGTGCAGAGCTACATTCACATTTGCATCTGCCCACACATGACATCCTCAGATGATTTTTGAGAGGAGTAGTAGATTGCAATAAATGTGTCTTGTAACTGGTATATTAGACCATAATAAATGGTTATTAGTAGTAATAATATGGAAATTTGATTGTGTTCTCTTAATGGTATAATTGATATTATATGACGCGTAATTGTTCTTGGGAAATTTTGAAGTGAATTTTTCGAGTACACACCAATCAACTTTTTATTTATGAATACATTGGTTCCGGTAGAATCAGATATTGATATTTGTTCGCGTAGCTTATACAGCTTTATTTCTATGATGGATTTCGTTTTTTCTAAAAGAATTCTTCGTTAAAATTAAAGCGTGCATTCCGCAACCAACTTAATTCGCATGACAACTGTGACATCTACAATATATGTTTGCTGTGGGGATGCACCAATTCTTCAAAGTTCATATCAAAGACGATGTCTTGGCGATATTTGAAATCGTTAGGTCCTGTTAATTCTTCATGTCAAACAT